ATAAAATTGTGACTCATTTCCTCACGTTTATCGGAAAGGATGCCTACAGTTTACTAAAAATTTTGGCATTCCCAAATAGGCTTATTTCACTTCCCTATACAACTCTCAAAAAACTACTACTAAGTCATGTAAAGTGTACTGGTTTCGAATGCCGTGAAACAGCGAAATTTCATAGAATGATTGGCCAGAACATCGAGAATTCTACCACATCACTTAGTTATCCTGATCTAATGCGTGATCAAAGTCACTCAGACAACAATTCATTGAGGAGATACAAAGCAGGTTACAGAGGTGAGCATAGGTTTGGTAAATGCTTATTCTGTAGTAAATTTTACTCGTGTAATTCATGTGTATTTCAACATGCAAAGTGTTTTAAATGTGGTAAAATCAGACATATACAAGCAGTTTGTAACACTACCGTTCGGTTCTCCGCAAGTAGTGCTAAACTCTGTACTTCCGATCCTAATAAGTTGAGTCTTTCTAATGATCAGTTATCTTTAATTACGATTTCGTAAGATGACATCCACATTCAGAAGCATTTATATACCTCCCTTGGTTCATTCCATGACTCTACTGCTGACACAGACTGTATAAAGTCATATCTCAGTCCAGAATCAGATGAAGTCTTATTAACCTTTCATAGCTCTGAAACTAAGCTCCAGTCGAAACAAGTTTTTGTTTTGCCGAAAAAGCTGAAGGGACTCGTATTCAGAAGAAAATTGGAGCAACACAGTGAATAAAAGTGTATCAGATGAAACCCATAATCATTGTGCGACAAAAGCTGTTAATGAATCTACTTCTCATCAGATTTTTCATATCATTCTACCAGATATTGTTTATCCTAATGATTCATATATTTCTGATGAAATTTACTATAAAAATGAAGAAAATATGTTGAATGAATCAAATCATGATCTGTTGCAGTTTTGAAAGGTACCAATTTTTCTAATGATCCATAATCCTCTAATGAAATTCTTAATAAACTTAAGGAAAATATTTCAGAAGTATCAAATCCTAGTCATGTTATATGTCCTCATAATCCATCTGTTTCTGGTGAGAAACTTAGTCAATGTGATACACAAGTTCTAAATGAATTCATACGTATTTACAATCCGGATGATTTTATATCGATTGTTGTTTGTCCTCACAATGAGTTCATTTTTAGTTGGTCTTCTGGTCAATGTGAGAAATATGTTCTAAATAAAGACATATTGTTTCTTTCTTGTGAATATGAAGATCCAACATTTTTTCTTGGGGGAGGATAGCGTTTGAACGTCTATGGTTCAATTTTTAGATATCAGTGATTTAAGTACATATAACCCACATTTAGATCAAATACAATTTCAGGACCCAAGTGAGTCGGTTCTAATTCTGGTTGTTAATCCGAATACTAATGTATTTATTCTGGATCATACAGAGTCTATATCCGATACAAACACGATGAACCTAAGGAGAAGTATAATCGATTACAGAGATTCAAACTCTTATTTAAGCTGTGCAGGTTGTGGTATAAGTACGTAGTAATGACTCCTTTGTGCTTGATTACCCGCTCATTACGAATTACAAACACAATATGTTCGATTGTGTTAATCTAGTCCAACTTGTTGTAAATTGCACTATTTTGGGTACTCCTGGTAAGTGTATCAATTCGAATACTTCTAATCATAATACTTTGTTCCCTCTTTATGCCGAGAAGTCATAAAAACAAATATAATCTGGTTACAATGTTCGCTACATCGAAGTGAAGGAGCAACTGGAGCACCGGTTGACCATAGTCAAATACGCTAATGTTTCGTTGTTCAGTAGATGAAGAAATGAATTTATTGGCTGCCTAAATTAAGAAAGGGAAATTGTAAATTGATGTTCGTGATAGTTGAAAGTATTTCAGTTATTATGCCTGGTAGAATAACATGAGAATTCCGATAAGCTAGTTGACCAGAAGATTTTGTCCCACAATGATTTTGAGTTTCACTTAATTATGGACTGAGGTATGACTGTATACTGCTTTTCAAAACCGTTGATAAAGATAACTGATCATTAGAAAGACTCAACTTATTAGGATCGGAAGTACAGAGTTTAGCACTACTTGCGGAGAACCGAACGGTAGTGTTACAAACTGCTTGTATATGTCTGATTTTACCACATTTAAAACACTTTGCATGTTGAAATACACATGAATTACACGAGTAAAATTTACTACAGAATAAGCATTTACCAAACCTATGCTCACCTCTGTAACCTGCTTTGTATCTCCTCAATGAATTGTTGTCTGAGTGACTTTGATCACGCATTAGATCAGGATAACTAAGTGATGTGGTAGAATTCTCGATGTTCTGGCCAATCATTCTATGAAATTTCGCTGTTTCACGGCATTCGAAACCAGTACACTTTACATGACTTAGTAGTAGTTTTTTGAGAGTTGTATAGGGAAGTGAAATAAGCCTATTTGGGAATGCCAAAATTTTTAGTAAACTGTAGGCATCCTTTCCGATAAACGTGAGGAAATGAGTCACAATTTTATCATCCTTAACAATTTTCCTGGTTCGACACCACATTTCAAACCTTTCTATGTGATCTTCTAAAACTTCAGAATTCGAATGTATATCCAACTGTTCAATGACAGACTCCATAACGACTCCAATATGATGGTTAAGAAATAATTGAATTAATGTACTAACCAGGAATACCCGAAATAGTGCAATTTACAACAAGTAGAACTAGATGTGCACAAATGAACGTATTGTATTTAGAATTTGAAATCAGACAATCATCAAGTACAAAGGAATCTTAAGTTAATACAAATATCACAATGTCTTTATTATAGTAGCAGGTTGTCAGTTGATTCTTATCCATTTACTTTTGTATGTCACAATATCGTCAGTTCGTGATAAAGCAGACTTCAAATATACGCTTGCTTATTTTTATTATTAATAGACCTATAATTCATCTTCCTCTGTAATTAAATAAACATACGTTGGTGCCCAAATCATCCCCTTGCTATTATTTCTCACTATCTAACAAACATCAGGTTAAGTGATTCAGTCGGTAAATATATCAAAGACTAATTGAGAAACAAAGAAAGGTTAATGACATCATGTAAAATGAGGTCGAAACTTTCATATTTTGCTTACGTCCTTTTATAGGTGTTTGTATATACTTAAATGTAGATCAATGGTGTTCTTGCAAATTACTCGAAATAATTCGGTATCAACTAAGGTCAAGAAAAACATGACATTTCTTATAACATGTTGGCCAATCTTGACCAGTTATTTTTCTTTCACCAATGCGTTGTGTCCTCCTGATTTACTAATATCAATGTAAAAATACTTTTGTTTATTTCGTTTACTACAGAGTAAAGTAGGTTTACTTAACTACACTTGCGATTTCTACATTACAAAAAACTTAATTAATGATACTGAGACTTACTTACATAATTTTCATTGTTACAAAAGAGCTTTACATTAGCTTTAAAGACTTTCCTTTTCACTACATCAAATGATTCTTTAGTGAGCGATTAAAACAATACCAACAAAAAGCTATGTGAATATTACTAATTATGTATCTAACTACTTACTAACAAATAAGTAGTCACATAAAGATCAAACTTTGTCCAAACCGATTGATGATTTGTTTTGCGAGACATTAACCACTTTCTGTTGAAAAACGATACTTCAGTCTCTTGGGAAAACTCACAAAATGAAAAAAGACACATAGATAACGGATAATACGTCTATTCAGTTTCTATATTAGGTTCTACAGTTTTGAGATTTATAGTGATGTGAGTATAATTGACATAATGTACTTGCTTAAATCGTTCGACTAAAAATTATCTTAGATTTTTGTTGAAATGGAGTGATGCAACCACTTAAGCTACATAAAAATATGACGAAGTCAACCATTTTAAAAAACTTCATGGTCTGACCGAATTTGTGCTTATTCTTGATATTAGCCCCTCAGCCATTTCACGAAAAGCAATGAAGAAAGGGACTAAACGTTATTTCCATGAGTGGAAACGGAACAATCCACTTTAGTCATTTTTGACCTTGAACAAGTTCCGTCAGCAATTCAAGGCACATCGATCGATGTTCTTCGCTTGAAATTGTAGCGGTAAGTAAATCCCCAAAATAAATAGCTCTGTAAGTTTTCGACATTGGATGTTGACTACATTAGTTTTAATGGACTCACCTAGCTAATGTCGCTCGGTCGTGTATCCGCACCAGATCACGAGTGGGTCCGCCGTGCTCAACAACTCCTGCAATCGCTAGTCAGATTAGATCAGACGACCCTCGATATATTGGTAGCCTATCAAATGTATCTTCAAACCTCTTCACTTCTGTCTTTTGATTCCACATGGTGAGTGCGCTTCATATTATGTGTTACTGAATAAAGCGTTGTCAAACTCCAAATACCTGTGGCATCTTCAAAACATTTTAGCTTCAACAAAGGTTTATAGGTGTTCAATTTTATTTCACCAACCTACCCCACCGAAATCAACTGCAGAATGATTGTGTATCAAATCCCATAGGGGATTACTAGATATTGTCAATAAGGTCAAGGATAACGATCATATATTTATCAATTCAGCCCATGCAACCCTAGCAGCACAAAAATCCTCAGTAAGTATGATTTTGGCGTAAGGTAGGTTAAGTTAAAAGATTTTTCGTGTTGAGAAGTCTTGTCTCTATTCATGTCCCACCTCTCCTCTTACTTGTTCAAATTCTAGAATTGCAACCATGTGATCAGTTACTCTGTAAATTGATAGTTCTAATTCTGTAAAACTCATTGCTCTAGAACAAACTAAACTCATTTATAGTCATGAAATATCAACATCCAAATAGCTGTTGAACCCACTTAGACTAATCTAGCTCATTAGCTTGAATGTCCACATTAAACGACGAAAAGACCTGGAATCAAATCACGATAGCAAAAGAAATGAGCTCAAAAGAGCAGCTAGTTTACACTCAGTAGTCATGATCATATTTGATATATTGTGCCTGCCACTGACCTTGAAACAACGCGCGCCATCCGTTAGGGTTGTCACTTATCATGAGTGTATTTCTCGAGCTGATTTTGTGTAACTGCTTTTCAAGACGTTACAGCTGAAAGTGTTTTGACGTCAAGGTTTCATACTTATCATTTGTCAATAGCAATGGCTAGGTCAGTTCATGGTGAATTACTGTATTTTATATTGGATATGTATTTTTATATTTATTGGTATCGTACTTAGTTTCTCCGATTTTTATTTTCTTCAAATGTAAAAGAGTAGTGTTTGTTGATGACTGCCCGGTTTTATGGATAAATTTACTCATCCAACGTCTTTTCTGCAGAAAGCCTAACGAAAATCGGTGAGACTATTATTTACGCATGACCTTTGAGTGATGCTACAGGTACCTTTGGTACATGCACTTACTTAATAGCGTTAATAGAGGGTCATAAGTTAATATGAGGAGTTAGGATTAGGATTCACGGTTAAGAATTGTAGTTAGGGTCTTCGCAAAATGACATAAGCTATTGTGCCATAATGCGGCGAGACTCTAATTTATGGACGACCTTTGAACGAATCTTAAATGACCTTCAAAAATATTAGCCAATCAGCAAACAGTCTGTATTAGAGTAAAAAGATGTTATACAAAACCAAGGAAATAAAATGGATACACTTCTTATACGTGGTTCAAAAACTTGTCAAGTTTAAAAAGAGGTTCAGAGATTCTAAAATCGTAATGCATGCAGTAGAGGGAATCACTCATACGGCTACAGAATAGTCGGCCTCTGGAACCACGACAAAGTCTCAAAAACTCTTTCAGCCTCGACCACATAGTTTCAATATTGTTTATATGCACTCTGGTTGTTGAGTGCACAAAATGCTACTTGCGGATAACGACGCGATGCACATAACCAAGCCTATGTGGGAGTCTGTACGCTCTCCAAATATCCGTATATATTGTAGTACCTGGCTGCAGCCAGTGTTACTGGTGCTTTCATTATCCAGTTCGCAATAATTGTCATAATTTGCCTTAGTTAGGAATTATATATGGGGTTTTTATCACGAACTGACATCAGCTATAATGCCAGAAATGTATTTAGCCAAATGGATGAAAGTCTTTCGCGTTAAAACCCGAGATCTATTATCTTATACCTGATTGATTTGTCCACAAATTATAGTCTCGCCGTTTCATTTGTTATAGCCGCTCAATTATCACGTTTTGTACAAAATTCCCTGTGAACTGAACGTACGTTAGCATTAAGCACTGAAGTTGGCCCCGTAATCTTGAAATCTCTAAAACGCCTCTAATTGGCTCGTCCATAAATTAGAGTATCGCCCGAAATGCTAGTTACCTATGTAGATGAATAAATTTTGTGTCGAAATCCAAGATTTACTGTCCTTAATGTCGTTGATTTTTCCATACATTATAGTCTCACCCAGTTGAGGTTTCAGATTTGTGTATTAAAGACAGAATGTCTACGGCCCGTGTTAGTCCTTCTCCAGATATTTATTTGCTTAAATACATAAATATCGATACGAGGCTTCTGAGTGTTTAGTCTTTGAATGAGTCATTCCAATGGGCGAACACCACTTCTTTGAATAACAAGTTCCCAGAATTGATGACACGGTGTGAAAAACTGTATGCTATGGGTATTATGTTCCTTCTTGGGTTTTATACTCTCCCGCTATATTCTTTGAATTGTCCTGATCTGATGAGAAGAAATAAGAGGGACACAGGTCCAAAATAGTTTCTTATCATTCTGTACATCAAAATTAGATCACCTCTTTATCTGTGGTAGGACAGGATGAAAAGGTCTAGCTGTTTAACATGCTCTTTGTATGGTTAAACTCAAAGTTCTGGAATTCCACGGGTAGCTGCCCTCTGTACTTTTTTTAAGACATCCGAGTCGCCTTTTAAAAAGAGGCTTACAGCCCCGACTCGGTTTTCAAGTTTGGATCTCACTAAAGTTGTGTATAATGTAGTGAACATATTAGTATCTTACTTGGCAAACATCCGTTTAAGACCCATTAGGGTTCCAAACCCCTTGGCTGTTACTTCACGGCAGTGGGCCTTGGTCTCGATTTCCTTCTATCTTATTGTTTATTTTTACATGTGATATAAATGAAAACGATGTAGTCACTCCTTTAGCCTATCACTAGACGGTGTTTTCGTCAGTCAGTCAGTAACAACGTAGAACTTCGTTCGTACGTACATCGGTTCGAGTTCCCATACCACATTAGCACAGAGATGCAGTTGTCGATTCAAATCCCGTAGTGGTAGAGGTAGTAAGAGCATAAACGGTAATCGGGGATATTAGGGTTTGGAGGTGTTATTTAAAGAGTATAATACAGTGAAATAAATTTGGGAAGAGAAAAAAAAGAGGCAAGGAGGAATCAGAAGCGCTGTTTTTGTACGGGGTACTGGTCAATAAATCCTACTAAATTGTACGTCGCCTTTGAATTTCCCAGATTTTCACCTTGCCTCAGTTTTTGTAAACAACAAATATGAATAGTACCATCACCTTTTGTCTTTTTTTTTCTGATTTCTGATGTCTTGTTAGAGGATTAAAGCATAAATAATAAAGCTAATTATCGGCCTTCCATAAATGTAATGCATTTCGTCTAGGTAGATGCCTCGTGAATTTCTGAAAATAATTGGTATTTGGTGTGGTATTCAGTTCAGGAGTATTGATTACTTCCGTTTGAAAGTTCTGATCACGTTCACCCACTGCTCATGCTAAAACTCTGTTTTAAAAACTTGATGTATAACGGTTGGTTCACAAATCCGAACCCTTTTCTACATCCTAAGGTTGGGATTATATTTATATTCCTCATACTATAATTGCTTAACGATCCTGTTCATGGCGTCATGTGTGATCGCCTGACAGCCCGGTAATTAGTAGATGTTGATAGGAATTGTGATAACTTGGATAGATGCACGGTTTTCTTAATTCCTAACAAGTTTTACTACGTCCGTCTCAATTAAAACCTGTGGCTTTGTATGTTCATGGTGAGTGCATCGCGAGAAATAGTAACATACTTTGTGGCTTAACAGTTCGTGCAGTTATATTTCAGTCTTATTCATAGCTTCTCAATTTGCCCCACCTAAGAATTTCGGCCATCAATGTAATGGTCATAACTCAGAAAGTATTCCTACTAATTTAGTGCTTGCACATAGTAGTAACAGAGTTATTTTTTATGCTTATAAATCTAGTAGTAAATATCCGGTAAAGAAGTACACCTGCCCGATTCAGATTAAATGTCTTTCTTGTAAGCATGAAGAAAATACTACTCTAGGTAAGTGACCTATTACTTTACAACTCACCTTTATAGTTTTTGATTCATTGGATCTTACGTCTGAAATGAACAGTCCCATTAATTTGAGTCCTATTGCTTTGGATTGTGAAATGGTTGGGGTTGGACTCAAAAATTCTAATGCTTTAGGACGCATTAGTATTGTTGACTATGAGGGAGAAGTTTTATGTGACGTCATAGTTAAACCTGAAGGAGAAATTTGTGATTATCGCACAAAATGGAGTGGAATACGTGAAGAAGATATGTCTCGTGCAATACCTTATTCCTATGTTCGAGAGCGCGTTGAAAAAATCATACATGTAAGCACCTAGTTTTAAATATTAGCGATTAAAATGGTTATTGGTCAAACATTTTATTTGAGATATCAAATGTGACTATGTTGTATTGTAAGTCAATATTTGTGTTTATAGGCTCAAAAACCTAAGTAGTGCTTTAATCTATATTCACATATCAGTCTAATGTAAATTGTATACAATTATTCAATTTAAATTTTATTTCAAATAAATGGTAATTATTGGACTCAATTCAACATCCGTCCTGTTTTTCAGAATCGTATTGTAATAGGACATATGCTGAAGAATGACTTCGCCGTATTAAATATGAAGCACCCTCCTCATTTGGTACGTGACACTTGTAGGGTTCCATATCCTAAGTTGCTTGCTGGTTTTTCCATGAAACCTCAAATTGGCCTAAGAGCCCTTACTCTCCGGCTTTTCGGTTAGTGATCATATATTTTGTTACATATTTTTAATAATTTCATAGAAATTTGTAACTCATATCATGGGTTTATTTTTCAGTCTTTCTGTCCTTTGAATAATAACTCATATGGAAAATCTACTAACTTGATATCGAACTGTTTACTTGGCAGCGTAATTTTCCTATTAAATTCCTAGCCCGATTAAGGACCTAATAATCATGAGATCAGAATAAAATAATTTCATAGTAAATATTACTTCTACCTTGGCTAGCATTACACTATATTACCTGTATTGATTTATTATGATAGCTTAAGGGTTATAAATCACACGTTTTTACTTGTCACTTAGTGGCTCAAACCCTGCTCCCACCAACCTCAGTTTGTGGAGCCGGATAGTTCGACTAACATTCACAGAAAGATGTGAGTTACTGTCGTGGGCATACATTAGTAATCGTTTAGTAATTTACAACATGTTTAATCAGTTACAACGGCCGAAAAAGTAAAATTAACAGTTAAGACAAAATATATTTCATTGCATATATTTACGAGCAAGCTGAAGCATTGGGATCATAAAAAATAAACATTTCACAATTTATCTAATTCGAAATACGGAACGGAAATAATTTATTGAGAATAACAGAGCAAGCTGACGTTAAAGATATAACGGTAAAGAAAAAATCCAAACAATTTGAGGATCAACACCAAAAAGCCGAGTCTAAGATTCTTAGAAATGCTATAAATAATTTAATGACAAAAATTTATTTATAAAATCTTAGAGATTGAATTTTAAGTAAACCCAGTGTTTCGCTCAGCAATCTAGTTCAAGCATCAAAATTATCGAATATAAATAGGTACGTGGTTCTCTGGTTAACTGTATACTAAACAAATCATCCAGTCATGTTGACAATGTTGAAAGTAAGAATTTGCTGTATTGAGTATGAGACATCTGATGTGTAAAGAGAAGCGTGTTTAGATAACAGATCGTATGTATGTGTAAGTGGATCTGAGGCGAGAGAAATTTCATCGGCTTTATATCGCCTCTGATCGGTGAATTTTTAATGAAAACATAATTTATAGATTATATGAGTCGAACATTACACACCATGCATTGAATGAAGATAAATAAATAGAATAATAAATGTTTGTGTTACTATACTGATCAAGTTAATTGTTCATCATACATCCATATAAACCTTAACTTCGCTTCACCTACGCTTGTTATCCATAGGAGAGAGTCATATGCTATCGACCAGTATTCTCCAACCAACTCTGTTCTGGGAAATCCTTTCCAGTTGCTTCTAATTGCTATGCATTCTTTTGATATCTGCCTCCAATTCCCTGCACAATGTGTTCCTTGGTCCTCCTCTTTTCCTTTTGCCTTCAGGATTCCAAGTTAGCGCTTGCCTCGTGATGTGGTTTGATGATTTCCTCAATGTATGTTCTATACACCTACAGCGTATTTTCCTAATTTCCTCGTCATCTGGAAGCTGGTTCGTTCTCTTCCACAGCAGGCTGTTGCCGATGGTATCCGGTCAACGAACATTGAGTATCTTATGTCAACAATTGTTGATGGATACTCGTACCTTTTTGATGACGATTGTAGTTGTTCTCTAAGATTCAGCTCTGTATAATAGGACTGTCTTGACGTTCGTATTGGAGATCCTGACTTTGATATTGTTTGACAGCTGTTTTGAGTCCCATGTCTTCTTTAGTTATAGGAATACCGCCCTTGTGTTTCTAATTCTTGCGTTTACATCTACATCAAACCCCCCTTGTTTGCCGATGATATTACTCAGGTACGTGAACGTTTCCACCTCTTCCAGTGTTTCTCCATCAAATGTGATTTAGTTGGTTCTCAGTGTGTTGTATTTGAAGATCTTGGGTTTTCCCTTGTATATGTTGAGGTCTACTGATGCAGAGGCTTCTGCTACATTGGTTGTCTTAACATGCATTTGTTCCTGTGTATGGATAGAAGGGATCGATCATCTGCCAAGTCAACCCGTTCATTGTATTCTATGCTTCCCTTGAGAAGTGGAGGTCTTCATAATCCAGTCAACCACCAGAAGAAGGAGAAAGAGTGAAAGTAACCAGCCTTGTCTGACACCGGTCTTCACTTGAAATGCATCTGTGAGCTGTCCTCCATGCAAGACTTTACAGTATAGTCCATCATATAAATTCCGTATGATATTGACGATCTTCGCAGGTACATCACAGTGTCAAATAAGGTTCCATAAGGTTCTCCTATCCACGCTTTCAAACGCCTTATTGTCAATCAAATTGGTGTATAGTGACGAGTTTCATTCAACTGATTGTTCGGCTATGAGTCATAATCTTTCGTTTTGGTCCATACACGACCTATACTTACTGAATCCGGCCTGTTAATCTCGAAGCTGGGCATCTACTGAATCCTTCATCTGGTTCAGCAACACTCTGTTGAAAAGTTTTCCTGACACCGATAGTAGTGTGATGCCTCTGTAGTTCTCACATTTGCTCAGATCTCCTTCCTTTGGTATATTGATGAGGTATCCTTCTTTCCATTTCATTGGCACCCGTCCTTCCTCCTGAATTGAACGTGGAGCATCTTTGCAGTTACTTCTGTGTCTGACTTCAGCGTTTCCGCTGGTATATTGTCAGGTCCTTCTGCTTTCCCACTCTTGATTTGTCTGGTGGTCATCCTGATTTCTTCGATCGTTGGTGGAGTGACAGCTTCAGGGAGGTCTGTGTGTTCTGCTTCGATGTCCATTGGGTTCAGTGGGATTGGTCTATTCAAGAGTTCTTCAAAGTGTTCTATCCACTTGTTCCTCTGTCCTTGAATCTCAGCGACTGGCTTGTCATTTTTGTTCTTAACCTGTCTCTCTGGTTTACTATATTCCCCCACCAGTTTCTTCGTCATATCATATAGCTGTCTCATATTTCCTTCTCTTGCAGAATGTTCTGCCGTTGTTGCTAGTTCTTCCACGTATTTCTGCTTGTCAACTCTAATGCTCTTCTTCACTTGCTTGTTTGCTTCTGTATATTCAGCTTGTGTCTGAACTTCCTCTGTTCTTGTTCGGCTGTTGTTAATTGCTGTCTTCTTGTTCTTCCTTTCTTGAATCTTGTACAGGGTTTACTTGGAGATTCATTCCTTATGACGATGCTTCTTGCGGCCCGGCACCTCCTGACACGTTGACGTTGGTGCTTCTTTGGTCCGTTTCCAGTTGTCCTCCATCGTAGTTTCTGCTTCTTTTAGTATACCCTGTAAGGCTTGGGACCTGTTGTTGAGAGTTATCTTGAATTCGTTGAGTTTGTCAGTATCTCGATGAAAGGCTGTATTAAACTTTTGTAATTCTGTCTGTCCAACTGTTCAGTGCTTCTTGGTTCTCACGTCTTCCACTGTCCTTCGGAATTTTTTAGTGATGTCAATATGATCTATCTGGTTCCGTGTAGTGTGATCCAGTGAGACCCATGTGACTTTGCGTATGGGTTTGTGTGGAACTATTGTGCCGCCTATGGCCAATTTTTTGAATGTACATAGATTTGCAAATCTCTCGCCATTTTCGTTCCTTTTTCCTAGTCCATGTCGTTCCATGATATCTTCACAGTTGGTGTTGTCCATTCCTACCTTGGCATTTAGGCCTTCCAACAACATACTTCGGTTCTTTTCCTGGGCACTTCTCTACGATCGACTGCAGCCTCTTATTATACTGCTGTTTATCGTCTCCGTTGCTATTATTGGTAGGCGCATAACACTGGATGACATTTATTCTGATCTCCTCTTTTGTTTTGGAGGATGCTTTGATGATTCTAGACCCATGAGACTCCTATCCTGTTAGCGCTTTTCGTGCCTACCTAGACAGCATCAGTGAAACTCCTTCAAGACTAGAGTACAACAGCACCTCTTCCGAAGCTAGTATTTTATGCCCAGCTTGTGTCCAATGGGTTTCACTGATCCCGAGCACCACAAAGTTGTATTTCATCTCCGTAGCTATTTCATTGGTTCTCATGGTCTTCCATATCGTTCGTACATTCTATATACCGACGTTAATTATAACGCCTCATGGTGAAAGTCGAGATTCTTCGGAAGTCACGAGGCCGACGTTACTTCTAACAACAATTATTGTTCTGGTTGAGGCGATATATATAGTCAATGAAATTTCTCTCACCTCAGATCCAATTACACATACATACGATCTGTTATTTAAACACGCTTCTCTTTACACATCAGATGTCTCATACTCAATACAGCAAATTCTTACTTTCAACATTGTCAACATGACTGGATGATTTGTTTAGTATACAGTTAACCAGAGAACCACGTACCTATTTATATTCGATAATTTTGATGTTATCAGAATGGGTTTTGTAGAAATTTCACAGGTTGAAATCACGATTCAATTGAAGCTAGACCACCACGGAAAACGTCGAAGCACTAGATGGCCGTTTCATCCTATTGTGGGATTCCCCAGCAATGAGCATCCACGATTCCACCTTGTGAGATTCGAATCCAGGACCTACCAGTTTCACGCGTGAACACTTCGCCTTTAGACCACTGAGCTGACCGGCATCTAACGGTGTTAATGTCTAACTTCAATGAGTAATATTGCCTAGAATAAGAGTATATTAAAGAAATTGAAAAATAAACAAAATTAAAATGATTTCTATGACTGTTAACCTGAATGATATATGACAAGATAATAATAGTAGTCAAGTTCATGACTAAAAAAAACTACTGTGTCTCATCGATTAGTAGTTTACATAGAAAAAGAACAATGAACTAAATATTTAGTGTAATTTGTTACTAGTTAAATTCTTTAATTATAAAGTATAATTAACACTGTATTCAGTTGTTGTTTGTTTTTATTATCTTTTCAAAACAAACTATGGTTATCCAAATATTGACAAACACGTTTATACAAATAATATATTATTATTCAGTAATCAATAGTAGTAAGTAATCTTAAAAGAAAACAAGAAAATGTTTTTTGTATACAACTATTTTTAGAAAGTGGTTAGCAATGAAATCCAAGACGCACGTTTCACCCTATTTGGGACTCGTCAGCTGCATGTACCTGCATCTTAGAGTTCATGTTCATTCCGAGATTTGAACCCAGTACCGTTAGCCTCAAATGCTATCGCTTTATCTACTTAACTAATAAGTCCAGATAGTCATTAGCTTATGAAATGGGGCTGAAGTTTTAATTCATTTTTGTATTGGTTATTTTGAGTCTTCTCATTAATATTGAAGATTGTCATTGTTGTCAATCTCATATTGATATATGTGTGTACATCTTTCATATTTGTTTAATTTCAATAACTTTTTAATTAAACTGAGGTTGTCGTTTTTTTCTTCTTCCAAGAATGATCTATTTCATACTTTCTTACAACTACTTATTGATATAGGCATTAATATTCAAAATGCTGAACATTGTTCAATTGAAGATGCTCGTGCATCAATGGCAATTTATCGTTTAGTTCAAGATATATGGGAAGCGGATTTACTTAAAACAAATAAAAAACAATTTTTAAAGCAGCATTCTAATGATCATTCTAAATCCATATGTTCTATCGATAATTGTCAAGAAGATAAAGCATCGTCATCATCATTATCATAGAAACTTTTGATAGTTTTTTTCTAATTTGTATATATTTCAAAAGAGTATCATATAAAATCAGTCAACCATATCAGTGTTGGATAATATTCATAACATTTGTGTTAACATTAACGTATCCGAAAACAAATCCCTTCACTATTGAACCTATTTGATAAGAATATAAAACTATTTTGTTTGTTTGTTTTTTCTGATGGAATTCTTTCCACTTTATTTGTAACAAAATCATATCATACATTATGCATATAAACGTTTAGTAATAATCTTTTAATATATATATATATTGCTATATGGAACTCAGGGTCGCATATGAGACGTTCTTTAAGCCTTAACACTTCATGCTAGGTTATTTCGTTTACTACCCTACATATGTGTTCTGTGCAGTCTAAGCTATATTGCTATATAGAGTTGAAGGTCTCAGATGAGACTAGAGGTTCGCCATTGATATTGTGGATGGTTCGGTATTGCTTTGGCAAGTTTTGCTGACTGTTCATGCAAAAAATTGGTTTGCTGGTTAGCCGATTTCATTCATAGTGGTGATTGATTTTCAGTGTTCTTAAGAGCCATTATAAGGCATGTCGCTATTGCTAATATTAATGAGTTTGACTGTCGTGTAAGCGGAATAGGTCAACTTTGGCCTGTTCTTTCTGTGCATAATTGATTCATGCGATCATTGATCGGAACAATCATACATGTGACGTAAATGTGAATATGAATGGTCCACCAGGGTGCTTGGTACCTGTGTGGTGGTTGTGCCACAGGATTGAGTTGTACTATTCAGATTGTAGCATTAAAGCATATATGGTGTCTGGTTGTCTTGTGAAGCGCGATTGAGTTGTACCGCTCGGGTTATAAAGTTTAAGCCTGAATGGTGCCTGATTCTCCTGGAAACGGGATTAAGCCGTACTATTTAGGCTACAAATTTTAAGCCTGCGTAGTGTCTGGCTCTCCTGCAAATGGGATTGAGCTGTACTGCTCGGGTTAATCCTGGGAGGTGTCTGGCTCTCCTGTTAAACGGGTTTGAGTTGTCACGTGAAAGTCTGGATGGTGTCCGGTCCGCCTGAAAACTAATGTAAAATTATCCTGACCCGCAAGAGTATATTATATAATTGTAAATATAATAATGTTTTAGTATTTTCATTATTCTTGGTTTGTACTATTTAACCATTCAGTTTCTCATTGCATAATTATGACTACATTTTGGATTGATAAATTCTTAAATAAAACAATTAGATTAGACGTTAACACCGTTGAATGCCGGCCAGCTCAGCGGTCTAGTTGGTTGAGCGCATGGCGCGAGACTGGTGGGTCCTGGGTTCGAACCCGCGAGGCGGGGTTGTGCATGAGCACTGCTGATGAGTCCCACAACAGGGCGAAACGGCCGTCCAGTGCTTCCAGGTTTTCCATGGTGGTCTAGCTTCAATTGACTCATGATCTCAACTGTTGAAATTACTACAATTTCCACAAAACCCGTTCTGATACTAATTAGATTTTAACTGATAATTTCGAATAATTGTTTTCCCATTTGAATTTGATTATGGTAAATGTGGGAATCACACTTGTTAGTTTTTAGCATTCTGTAGTTAATTAAATCATAATGAATAATAGTTTCGTTTTTTGTTAATTATCTGTTTATCTTTTGGGAATTATATACTACTTTAATAGTATACTATAGTCAGGATGAGTGTTTTAATAGTTCGAATTTTGATCATTAAATTGCATGTTTAGAAATCATCCCATCTACTTTGGTTTATGCGGTTTATGTTGTACTCGTTAGCTCTCGTATGGAAAAAATGTTTGAATGGCTTAAGGGTTAGTACATATCATTGGTACTGATTTATGATTGATTAGATCATTTGTTCTTCAGTTTCATGATTCACATTGTTTGATTACAAATTCATGTATTGAATTCATTGTCTTCATCATACATACTACAACAATGTATTAATGGTATGCATTAATAAACACTAATACACTTCATCTTCTCCAGTGTATGATAATAACTGTATTAGTTTTCCTTAAAATATAGTTGTAATTTTGACAAAATGAAAAGTTCAGAACTGTAATTACTGACACTTTGGTCATTTAAATATATGTTCTTGAAGAGATGGATGAATTAATGTCTAATAAATTAACTTTCACTTTAATAGTTTAGCTTGTATTTGTTGTATCCCGATAAGAATAATGGATGGTAACTGTTGGAATCTATTTCTGAACTAAAACTTCACATATATTTTTATCGCATAATTGTTAAGTAACTAAACTATCCATATTCATGTCCCTCTTATTATGAGCTTTATTTTGACCTATGAGTCAGTCAGCTACAACATAGGACCAGGCACATATATGCATCGGTCCAATTTGCCATACCTCATTAGCACAGCAAGATGAACATCGGACTCATAGAAGTAGTTAAGTCAATGGTAGTAATATATCAAAGAAAGACTGCATGTAAGGATATAGTACAGGAAGAAAGAATTAGTTGGTAGAAAGAAAGATATAATGTAATTCTAATCTCACGGTTTAAGGGAAGACAGACAGTGTATACACCTACGCCATTGTGATCGATTCTGAGCCATGTCACCCCGAGTCTCCAACCATTGGTTACGATAGTCACGCGGACCCCAACCAAGTAGTCTGCATCTACCAACATGACTCAGACTAGAAGTTAGTGTCTTCAAGCACTGATGCCACGTTTTGGTTTGTCCGCCCCTAACTTTCTTCCAACCATCCCTAACATCGGTTAGCATTGCATAATTTACGATTCTTGAATTATGCTCTGTCTATCAATTACTATCTCCCTTATTCATAGCCACATTTTGCTAAATCTTGTACAAATGTTGTTACCTATTTTGTTGGTACGATGTGGTCTGTTTGGTTGGTATATAAACCCAGTATGTTTGAAATAAAGGATTAATATTACAGAGGCTGAGATTAGTGTTCTGGGCTTAACTGGCTGGGCTAGAAAGGAAACAGGACCGATAAGTACTCTAGACTGCTCTCACGGGTTTTATGTGTCGTTGGTCCTATCGATGATTTACTGCTCTCTAATTAGCGGTATCGTCAAGTTATACATTAACAGGGCACACAGGACACAAGCAATAACAGTATTTCAAACAAACTGTTATGGAAGATAGTTTCAGTATTTTTAACAATAGAATTGTTTTGTTTTTAGAAAATATTGCTCTGATTCTATAGTTGATAAGGTGTGGCCAATTTCTAAGTATTCACTTTACTAAATTATTAGTAGAACTCCTCGAATGAATAGATCCCAGTGAGTACTAGAATAAGTTTCTATTTTATCCAAATGACGCTTATATATATATAATATATATATATATATATATATATATATATATTGTTAATTCTATCGAAGCGTCGAAGTAACCCCGATTGAGATACGCGCAAAATCGAAGTTCCAAAACAACGATTTGTCTACAAAAGCGATTCTTTATTAAATAATACACAAAATTTAGTTACACTCAACTTGTGAGTATATATATATAAAGTGCTGGATATAAAAATAAACGTGATCAGAGGTCTTGTGAAATACAGGAGATTGGGTAATATGGGTTTCGTAGGTTACTCACTAGCCATTTACGTCAAAAAACCTGATTCTCAGACTTTATTCTCGAGGCATATTACCAGTAAACGGTGTTGAGTCCTATACTTTGTGAGACGCATTGATTCCTCATCACTAAGTCACATCTTTCTCTTTGTTCTTTTTAATGTTGATTTCGCCCACTTTCTTTTCTTCTAGTTTGTTCTATAGTCTAAACTTAACAATTGTCTTACCCCGTTACTCAAGACTTCAATCACAAATGCACTTAAATATCCTTGGAAATGTATATACTCTATCTTCGTGACCCACCTTTAGTTCATTCAAATAAACATAAAAGTCATTTATTACCCGTCACAGACTATAAATATTTCAAATTAACTATGTGGAGTAGTTCTTAGCGACAATTTAATAGTTTTCAACTGATTACTATGTAACCATAAATTATTTACAATATTATGGTACACCGAAGAAATCATACAAGACTTGTTAAATTACAAAATGTGATATAACAAGCAATGACCTAATTTATTTTTAGGGTTAAATAAATCTGTATCACTAGTCTTGTGTTCTCCTTACACATCGTTGGACTCTAGTTTCTGTACCAAGTACAAGCCAGTTAGGCATTTCCACGGATATGACAGAATGCACATAGTTTGTATGGTAGATCAAGTATGTGGATGGTTGAGATACAACTAGTAAGTAGACTGTTTACTTGGTCAAGTTTACCACCCGCATATCCACTGCTTCGTTTATTATTACGATCCATAGAGTTGTAAATATTGTTCACTCGGGAAATACTCAACCCGGTTTTCCTTTCTCTATCCATTTTGACCTGGTAAACTGTTCAGCACTCATTGATAACTGAACCACTCTATCCAAACTTTCATAGGAAATGAATGAAACAACTATTAATATTAAAATAGCGGTGTTCTGTTTTTCACTAGCCATAAAATCTGAACATCGCAGACTTGTTAGTGTTGGGTTGTGTAGGTTATTGGATTTTATTAAAATTAAGAACCGAACTAAGTTTGACAGCCTGAAAGCATGGGTCGGGTGTTTCATTTTAGTATGCGGCTTCTTTGTATTATTCATTCAAGACTCGAGCTCGGGACCGTTCCCGCGTGTGTGGTTGTGAATGCTCACTGTCGAGCAGTCCCATATTAAGATGAAATGGGTACTCAGTGCTCCCAGGTTGTTAGACTTAAGTTGGCTCGTGATTTCAATAAAGTCCTAAACTTATTCAACATCATTTTCGACCTTCTATTCCTTAAGTGTCAAAACTGATTAGTTCAGTCAATAATAATCCATTCTAATTATTAATTTTACACTGATTCGTTTATTATACATCGATAACTTAAAACACTTAATAAAGTTGATAAACAAGTCCATTTATCTCTTAAAATATACTTATTATGACATAAATCATAAATAGTATGTTAGGTGTTTGTCAATAACTCTGATGTGTCAATCAAAATGGTTGATTAGAGACTGTATACAAGTTGGAAAAGTTGATAACCGATAGTTATACTGAACTGATCGTTCGTTATTGTAAAGTTTCACACACAACCTTGGAAACTGTATTCGTCATTATTGTAACTGTACAATTCATCAGCTACAATATAAACGTTTTTCTTGGTGACACTTAACTTTTCTGAAACTTGAATCCTAGATTCATAGGATATTGATATAACCTTCATCCCGTGAAGATATGTAAATTAAGGTTGATCAGTTTAAATTTAATTGACCAGTGCTTATTGTAGAATACGTAGTAAGGCTACTTATTTCATCTGGTATCTCATAACTATATATTGTTTACGAAGAATATTCACTTCATAATTGTATTTTGAATGTGTTAACAATACTGAACTGTCCTAAATGTCATACGAATGTTATATTTATGTCCATAACTTACTGTCATCAAATCGTTATTTCTTCTAGTATATTTATAGATAACAGCTAATCATGGGATTCAGCGAACGTTTTTTCTCTATTTTATGACTTATCATCTCAATATATTCACAACCCAATGTCAATGTCCACGATGAAAATTGAACCCACTACTTATCTTCATTAAGCTACTGAGTTCAGATAGGCATCAACTAGTTTAGTTTGTACGGTATTTATTATTAGTAGTAAGAAATTATGTTTACTCGTTATTGATACCCTTCTCAAGAGACTAATTAAAAACAATTGGACACAATTATTTTTAACCAGCCGGAGACCTTTGTGGTGCTGTAATGATAAAAACTTCTTTTACTAAAATAAACAAGTGTCTAAGTATTCTTTGAAGAAATTGACGTCGTTTATCCTGCATTTTACATATTCTTCGGCATCAAAGGCAACGTTTGGAATGAAATAAAAACCAAATATGTATTTTTAAAATTCTAACACAAAGTTGGATTCATGGAAATCTATGTTAATAATTTGATACAAGAGATATTAGGATAATCGCAGCTTGCCGAACCCGTTTTGAAGGTTAATTTGACTTTTAATTTAGCTAAGTGAATTCTCGCCGAGTTCTTAATCCCCACTGCAAAAACTGTTTACTGTAAAATCTAACTATTATTCTTTGTAAGAGCTTTAGTATGTTAAAACACCTAAAATGAAGTAGGATCGGCCTTTTTACAACCCCATTCACGACGTTTTATGTCTGCAAAGCAGAGGAACAAAATCAGGAAATGGATTTGTATTATGATTGATAACTTTGTTTTATCAGCAATCTGTTTATCAAATCTGTCAATTTCTTACACAAAAAAAACCCAGTGAGCAGTAGCTTTCTAGAATATGGTTACAAAACTACATCTACAGGAAAATATTCTTAATCCTACCGCGATGTTAGTGAGCTATGACACAAAGTTCTAGCTTCAAAGCGCAATGTAGTCCCTTTCGAATACCATACGGCCAATCGTACAGAACGTTGAACCCAGTAAACATGTGCATCAATTTATGACCCCCTATTATTTCATCACATAGAGATGATATTATCTAGAAAAACTCAGAAATGACGGAAGCATAAAGTGTCAGTGGTGATGGCAAACATTAGGCATAGACGATCTGGTCCAAGGACGAATTCGTGGGACAGAATAATTCTAAAACCTTAAGGAATACACAGATCGAATACATGTGAACCATCGCAACTAATCTTAAGCCATTTCACCTAGTCTCCAACCATTAATTCTGATAGTTGCAAGGACACCAACTGAACGATCTTTACCTAACAAAACGACTCAGTCCAACAGCCAATGACCTTAAGGACTGCCCTCTAGGTTCGATCCATCCACCCAGTTAATTGGACAAGTATTTCATGATATTAGGCAAGCTTTTTGTATTTCAATTAAAATAGGTTGTTTTGGATAGTAATAGTACCTTTGATAGGACAGTGAGAAATACGATGTGTTTGCATCATGGAGAAACGTTCGGTATTCGCAAATTCAAACCCCCTTCATGTGTACATAAAAAAAATTTCTCATAATCATGACTGCACACTGGTAATTGTCAAGCCATTTTATGGTCTACAATGGTGTGACTGGCTTTTATTCCTACTATATTATGTTATTTTTCATCATTGTCACTTTTTAACTTTCATTTACTCAAATTTAATAGTACGTAAATGGTTTGACAAATATATATTGAATGATTTAAATCATGAGTCAATTGAAGTTAAACCACCATGGAAAACCTGGAAGTACTGGATGGCCGTTTCGTCCTAGTGTGGGACTCCTCGGCAGTGCGCATCCACGCCCCCGCCCCCTGCGAGGTTCGAACCCAGGATCCTTCAATCTCACGGACGAGCGTTTGACCCTTAGACCATTGAGCTGGCCGGCATCCAACGGTGTTAATGTCTAAATTCAATCAATTGACTCATGATTTTAACTATTGAAATTACTAAAACCTCCACAAAATCCCTTCTGATAATAGGCATCTGCTCACTAGTGAGACTTCAAGGGGAATTTTCCTGGGGTTCTAGTGAGAAGCAGTGACCAGTGGAGTTCAACCAAGTCTGTTGTGAGATATCAGCTTACTGAAGACAATGGTGTACGGGGGAGCAATTTCGTGGATTGGTTGAAGTTAGACATTGACACCGTTGGATGCCGGCCAGCTCGCGCGTGAGACTGATAAGTCTTGGGTTCGAATCTCGCAGGGGGTGGGGTCGTGGATGCGCTGAGGAGTCCCACACTGGGACGAAACGGCCATCCAGTGCTTCCAGGTTTTTCATGATGGTCTAGCTTCAATTGACTCATGATTTCAACTACTGAAATTACTAAAGTCTCCACAAAACCCCTTATGAAAATATATATTGGTCAGATTGTTCGAAATGTATGGTGTAAATACATCATATCATTCTGATCAACTCCAGTTTTTTATTGCGCTCTATCAACATTTATAAAAAGGGACTAATTGTTTTAAAGAAATAATAAAGTTATTAATAAGTTGAAAAATGACAAATGAGTGATTTCTTCTCATTATTAATAAAAAACACCAACAAACAAACGGAGCATTCCAATGAAATAAGTAATAAACTAGGATTATTACAACTTGACTAACCAAATGATGCAAAATAACACAATACAACTAGAATGAAGACATGAAAATGAGAGAGAAAAGGATAGAATAAAAACAAATTCTTTTATACATTATAAAATAAATGAAAAGAAAATACTCCAAGGAAGTTTAGTTCTGAATAAGTGGTAGGTTTTGCATACATGATGTTTTCGTTGTTAAGACATGTAGGGCCTACTTGTTTTATTGCACCGAGTTATATATATATATATATATATATATATATATATATATATATTGAGAGAGGAGGTAGGGAGGGGGCTAAATTTAGACTACAGATTGTAATAAAGGGTTTATTAATAATCAATTCTAATCGGTATCCTGATATCATCATCATCTTCATCTTCAAAATTGAAAGGTGTATAATTCACGGAGTCACCGGCTAACACTGAACGTTTTGGACTATTGTGAAATATTGCTTCTGGTGTATCAATCATATCACGACGTGGTACATTTTCAAATAATTCAGCACGATTTTGTTCTTCACCTTTCTTAACCCATTGACTATAAACATCATAGGCAAGTGTATCAATAATTTTACGCAATTTCTTATTTGAATATGGATCCATAGATAACTGATTGATATTTAAATAAGCAGCATCCACTTTTAAACGGCGTAGATAAAATATAAAACTGACAGCCAACATACCAGTCTATATAGTTGGTTAAAGGAAAAAAAGATAACAGTTTAGTGATCATTTATTATCCTGAATTGACTAATTAAGACAATTTGGAGATTGTAGTAATTACAAAAAAAAATTTCGGAGTATCAGATTCGAAAAAAACAAGGTTTGTTGAATGGCCCTCAAATGCCCTGGTACGGCCAAGGTTAGGGAGAGTCGATTCTCCCTCTCCAAATGCTCTCATATGGCCACACGTATACAGCCACTGAAAGTGAAGTCCTACTCACTGCCTTCTCGCGGCATTACTGTTATTTACGAAATCGAGAAGATGAAAAGTCAATGTCCGGCGCTTTAGCCGGGTTAGTGGACACGGAGAGTCCACCTAGAGGAGTTGGAAAACCCTGATTCCAGACTAATGGTACACATGGGTTCCAGGATCCTGAAGGAACAATAGGCGTATGAACCTATTGTTGGTCACTGGCTACCATGAGACGGCATCTCCTGACATTGCTTCACTGCCTTGTGGATTAGACCTTCAGGTCGAAAGCTCCGGGTGTGGCTTCCTAAGAAAACCACCTGCTTCGGTCTGGGAACCCGGACAGGATCACAGTCCTTACACAAATCAATAATAACTGCTACTGGCCTCATTGTTATTGTGTGGCGCATATGTATTTGGTGCTCCCTTGTACCAAACATCTTTATGTGTTCAAATAAATAAATTGTTGAGTGCAATGAATCTATATGTATTTTTCATTGCATTCTCCTCAGTCACATATAGATAATTTTGACTGATACGGAATTTTAGTAAATACTAAAATAAAAAGGACGCCAAGGGATAAATTACTCGCTGAAGATTAATAAATGGTCTCGAAAACAAAATCGTCATGACTATTTACATATTTAAATCAAAACAGTGCTGAATGGCTTAGTTGCATACTCTATATAATCAGAAACTCAATACATTATCGGAAAATAAACCCAATTTGATTAAACGCTGAGGTTTCACTAGCCCTTGTAGGCTAGTTAGCTTAAATCGCAGTAGTTTGGTGAGTAAAACACTAAACTTTGAATCGGTTGTCCTAAGGTTTGAACTCCATTTCACTCCACTCTACATACTTAAGTTTCGATAACCAGATAGTATTACTAGCCCTTGAAGCCTCAAGCAAGACCTAAACTCGAATACGTGCAAATCCAATTGGAAATTAGTAATATTAATGTTACTACACAAACCTACGCCACCTGTAGTATAGATTGTTTCTCAGTTGATTGGAAAATGAATATACTAGATAGCAGATTTTTCCTCTGTAAGTTTACGGCTGTGAAAAGTCAGTGTATTTTGAAAATATTTGACTAAAGGAATCGTCGAAGCATCTCCTTGAGGATGACAAAATCACCAAACAAATTTTGTTAAGTTCACAAAAGTAGTTTTAAGCAAAAATGGTAAATCGACTGATAAGACTAAAGATCTTCCTTAACTGAGACGACTGGAACACGTTAGATGTATCCTAATCACCATCTACAGTACAATCAAAGCCTGGCTAATATATGAGTGAACTGGAAAAAGAACCGGGAGTGGCCAGACTTAAATACAAAACCAATCTATGAAGTCATTAAGCGAGGTGTATCAGGGACGTGAACTTTTCCTGACTGAAGTCTGACATACAATCGTAATTTGTTTGCATAAGGCAAAATAGGATAATAAACACTTATTCTCAAGTCTCACCTTAAATTTCTGTCTAGCATTGAAGGCTGTCTTTCCAACTATAGGCTGAAACAAATATAAAATAAATGGGGAAATTACTAGTATATGCTTCGGATACAATTTTCTTAAGTAAATATGCATGCAATTAAAATATAGAAACAGTTGCCTAACATATTTTTGAAGGGACTTTCTTCATTATTAATCGCTTATTTACAAGGTACAAGCTCGTATATTTGGCCTTGAGCTACACTCCAGGTGTGAGAGTTAGTGATAATACTCGGTTGTGTAAACTGAACTAGGTGGAACGCAGTTTTAGTCTGTGAACACTCTGATCACTAAGCCACCAGCTGCATTAAAAAGTTTCACAAAGATAAACAAGGAAAAAGCAAAAAAACAGTAGATATGAATTGTATCTGTAAATATCGAAACGAGTTTAAGTATGAAATAATCTTAATGATCACCTTTAAAGTTTGATCGAAAATTTTAGTTTAGGGATTGGTTAATTTTGGGGTGATTTCTACATATACATATATATATATTAGACTTTTAAGCTGATCATTAGAATGACTTACAAATGACGAATATTAGTTGAAATGCTTTTTAAAGTTTGGGAGTGCATCTACTTGTAAGTTGAAAATGAGCATGAAACTACTATTCAACACTTATAAGGTTTTATATAAGTGCTTTGACTAACGACAATTTTAGTGACAACCATTGAGAAAAGATCCAACTTTGTTGCAAAATATAAAAAGCATAAGAATGAGTCTTAATATTTTAAAATGAGTATTGAATAGAATAACCACAAAATTCTTACTTTCACTAATGCAAGGTTTGTAGCGGATAAATGTCCCATACATATTTCAATCACTTCTGTCGATAAGGGTTTACGGTTTTACTAACAGACTTATGCTTGATCTCAGCGTTACTACTTAAGTGATCCAACTGCATGCAAACAATATATGGGAGGAACTTAAGACTAAATGTTGACAGCCCATACATATCATTCTAAAGGAATTAACAATCATAAAATCAAAGTGTTAACAAATTTCTGTTCATGAAATAATTACGTAGCAAATTATTAATGTTAAATATTCGAGGGATAAATATACTAAAAATTTAAAAACCAAAATGCTGAGTGAACATACTTGTTGTAGGAAGAATGCATGATTCAATGAATCTAAAGCTGTCAACCTTACGCTGGAATCCACAACTAGAATTTTACATATCTATTTGTAAAAACAATAAATACGGAAAAATATATAAAAATGAAAGTAATGTTAATCGAAAATGTCAACAGCAAATATTATGTATAGTGTTAAGTATACGTATAAAGAGGATAGTGGAATGTTCTTTATTACATATATATACTTCTAATATTTAAGATTTCTTCAACAAAAAATAATACCTCAGACACTCAATTATTAGGTTAGATGTTTGAATTTATGCTCAGCCTAGTGAGATCAAGGTTGTAACAGTTAATCATAAACAATGAAGAATTTGACTCAAACGTTTATCGGTTCAACACTTTACACAACATAAAAGTAGTGGGATTAAACTAACGGAATGAACAGGAAAGATGAAATAACAGAAGTGTTAATGGTAATAAGGAAAGAACAAGATTATGGTTTATCAATAAATAAATAAATATGAATTGATATTGAAACTCGAGAGATAAAGAATCAGTGAGTTTGTGCAATTGTAACTGATTTCAAGACATTTGACCCAATGTCTTCAACCACTGATCAAGACCATCGAGTAGACCCCAGACAATAAGTCTGCACTTACCAATACACCTAAGGTCAACAGGCAATGACCTCCTGGACTGGTGCCACATTTTCATTTGGCCGCCCGTAGCTTTCTCACATTATACTGCAGTCAGAACTGTATTGAGGAACGAGGCAGATAGATACGCGTGTAATGGTACGTGCATTATTTAGAGTTTTAAGCAGTAGCTCCATTTCTTTCTTTCTTGGTTTACTATTTGAATTGAGTTCGTGATGAAAATGACTCTCAAAATATACGAAATCACCAAGAAACCACTTGATTTATTATTCAAGTTAATAAACAACGCGGTTGCTCAAGATACAGCAGATAAAACGAGACTTGAACATGCAGTTTATTGCTTAAAAACTCAGTGTTTTCTGACTAACTATGTGCATCTATTAAAAGACAATGTTCGAATCCAACGAAATATTCTAAATAGTGGGAAAAGAATGTCACTTTTGTGTAAAATATATAGGATTTTAATGTAGTTTTTTCTAATAAGGCTACAAATTGGAGGTAACATATATTTGTACTTACAAGAATGAGCTAAAGCAAACTTAACTCACGTAAAAAACTGATGAAAATGTACTAAGCACAATACTAAATTGCATTTCAATAACTTGTACTCCACTAACCAGGCCATTTACGATATCTTCAGTGAATATGACGTTTGTACATAACAAATAAAGGAAGCAGACATTTATAGAGCAACTCACTAGATCCTTTGCAGATTCGCTGATATCATCCCATTCTGGACTAGGAAAAGAGAAACGGCCTTCCATAATCTGGCGCAGCATCAAATGTTCTTTACGATTCCAAAAAGGGGGACAACCTGCTAACAGAGTATACATAATCACACCACATGCCCAAATGTCTACAGGTTGACCATAAGGAGGTTGATCTTCATAGTAACCACACATCAGGACCTCTGGCGCCAAGTAACCTGGTGTTCCACGAGTTTCTAACAGGTAAAAATTTATTTAAAATTAAACGGTGACGCCGTATTGCCAACGAGAAGCACTTAGGACTTCGTAACCATATAGCCATAAAATCCAGATACACATACGATTTTGACAGTGCATTCGAATTTTGTTGAGTTAGACCGAGAATTAGGCAAGTTAACGACAAAGATCTACTGTTCGGAAAATTATTTAGGAAACGTATAAGCAGATTAAAATGAAGAGAGAACAAGATGGAAAATGATGCTTGTTATTTGACCTAGCTAACTGATAGATGTATATCTGCAAACATTTTCTGTGGTTCAAGTCTGTAAAACCGAATACTAAACAGAGAGACCTAAGTGAAAGAATTAATTGGTATTGGAAACTGCTTAATTAGTGATATATGTACGTTCAATGAGTTTTCAATCAGGAGCCTCAAATGTTGGCAATAAGAATGATGTAAACACTTAGGCTGTAAAGATATCTACCAATGAGTGAACAAGTGGATGAGCTTTGTAACACTCGAAGCGTAACTCAAATTTACAGTAATTATAATCAAATTGTTGGTTACAGAACAACGATTCATTTTTTTAAAAACTAATTTAGACAGTTTTGTGTAGATTTCAAATAAACTGATTTCTTCAGGTACCGACGTTAGCTACAGGACCGTCGAAAACCAGAATGAAAAACAGTTGTCTCGTAGTAATTTGAGTCTCTTCCACTGCCTGTTTTAACGGCCTTATATGGGACCAAACTTATGACTTTCCGGTCACAATGCTATTCATCTATGAAGCGTGAAACCGAAACTTCGCGTTCAGCCAATAAGGTATAGAAACCTGGTGGGTGGATATGTATCATGTTTTACGTTACGCATGACTGACTGCCCGGTTTAAACCGAGCCCAAGACGTTACCGCTGAGTTATTCAGATGATACTGTAATTTGAAAAGATAAATCGGCCAGCTTCAAGGAATTGATAAGGATTATGTCGAGTTTAGGTTAGTAAAGACATCACTCAGACTCGGTGCTGAGTTTGAACCGTACAAAAGAAATCCGTTTGCTTGGAGCTTTAAGTTAGCATTCTAACGAGTGCCAGCTAGTTTTAAACTAGGTCGAGAAATTCTCGGTATCCCAAATGATCTAATAAATGTCTATCTTGAATGTTGTGGGATTGAGAGTATTTGAGCATATGCTCGATCGAAATCCAAGTGGGAGATAAGATGGCTTTCTGGAGTCATGTCTTGTATAGAATGATAGAGAACGGCAAAACGACTTGCCTCGATAAGATTGTATCGTCAGTCAGTCAAATCCAAAGTAGAACCTCACATATATGTACATTGGCTCAAACTGTACCGAAGCACTGCTAAAACGACAAATAACTGCACTTAACAAACAAATATACTACACGTCAATTGTGGACAAACATAAAAACCTTGAGTAAAATAACATGAATTTATTCTTCTAGTTAAGGTTTAACACTATGAGACTGCCTGAACTTAAGTAGGTAAGGCGTAGTCTTGAAATGAACCTATGAAGGCTGGTTGTTTAACGCAATGGAATAAGGATCAACTACAGTAGACTGAACTAGTTATTTTGAGAGTATGAGGTACTTTTATCCAGATTACATGACGGTTAGCAGAAAGTAGTAAGATTTGCAAACTAGCTTAATATATATATATATATATATATATATATATATATATATATATATATAATGTCCCTGAAGTGTACACGAATATAATCATTAAGGCCAGAAGTTAACAACTCGAAGAAAATTTTGTAGTCTTGACTCAATAGCAACTTTCAAAGAGGTAAAAAGTACCTTTAAGCTCTTCTTCATCGTCAACAAATACAGCCAAACCGAAGTCCGTAACTTTTATGTTAAGATTTTCATCAAGAAGAATGTTTTCCGGCTTGAGATCTCGATGGACGATTTGACGGTCATGGATAAAATTAACAGCATCAAACAGCTGCCGCATGATTGCACGAGTACGTTTTTCGGAAATAATGACGTTGTGAGTAAGATAGTCGAAAAGTTCACCACCTTGACAACTAAAGACATGAAAGTGAAAACTGAAACTTACATTTCTGAGACCAGAAATATGTATGCATCCCCCTCGAAAACATCATGAATTCTTATGATATTGGGGTGGTCAACTACTTTTCTCAGAATTGTCACCTCTCGCATGCATTCTGAACGTATAACTTCTGAGGTGTCGACACCACTATTAAGATCCAAAATTTTAACAGCGAATTCGGCTTTAGAGTCTTTTTCTATGCAACGTCGCACAGTACTACTGGCTCCAGAACCCAAGACACCCCGAACTTCATATTTCAAATAAAAGGAATCCGCTAAACGGAGATCAGCAACGACACCATCCCTCTCCAAGCAGGTTATTGTCATGTCACTTCCGCTGGCCCGAAGTACGACCGAACCGCGGCAAACGAAAGACCGCCAACGAATACGGCTTCATAAAATTCGAAAGAATATTTTACTAAGGGAAAATTACATAACATCATTACATTTTCAAAGTATTGATGGAGTTTTGTCAAAAATATTCAGAATGTTTTGATGAGTAGTGTTAAAGTTGACAAAGTTTTTGATTATTTCGTCCTTGAAGCTATGAATGAGGCGCAGAATTTGAGGGAGAATTTGACATTCTCCGAAAAACATCTGCCTCTTCCAATTTGAAGTCATGTGTTGATCGTTTCTATATAGCATTCTTCAACAGACAAAAAAACACTTCTTACAGATTATGCTGTATAAAAAATTTACGACTCGAATATAATATTATTCACCTTCAGCTCCCACTTAGAAATTACAGCGTTGGTCGTTATCCGAATATTCATTCTTAATAATAGACAGCCCTCCAAGATCAGTGTCAAGATACCAAAGATATTCAGAGTTTGACAACGCCTTTATGCATAATACCTAAATAATCGAGGGATACCGACCCAGTAAAATCACAAGTCAGTAATGAAAAAGTGGGAAGAAGTAATCAGACAGTTATCGATATGTCAAGGAACGTTTGATCTCAGCTGGATAGTAGCTGCGAGGCATACATAACTCGACGTACCCACTTGTGATGTGTTGCGGACACGTGACCGAGCGCTGTCAGCTAAGGTGAGTCCAATGAGACTTATGAGGTCAGCATCAATGCTGAACACTTACAGAACTATTTATCTTGAAATTTATTTACCGCTCTAAGTGACGATATAAGTGCTTGATGTTGGTGCCGAACACATCAGTCCCGATAGTCATCGGTAGCTGCATGTATGCAGTATTAGTTCTAACAACACAATCCTCAAAGCCGAACATAAGATAACTGGGAAAATGCATGTTCAACAATTAGCTCGAAGGGTAGGTCAATAATCGAGAAGGAGGTAAGAATTCACTCAAGATTCAACTGGATGCCATGGCTCAAAGATGTGGTAATTATCAGAATGGGTTTTGTGGAGATTTTAGAAATTTCACAGATTGAAATCATGAGTCAGTTGAAGCTAGACCACCATTGAAAACCTGGAAGCACTGGACGGCCGTTTCGTCCTAGTATGGGACTCCTCAGCAGTGTGCATCCACGATCCCGCACCACGCGGGGCTCGAACCCATGACCTACTGGTTCCGCGCCCGAGCACTTAACCATTAGACCACTGAGCCGGCATCCAACGGTGTTAGTGTCTAACTTCAACCAATCCACGAAGTTGCGCCACCGTACACCATTGTCTTCAGTGAGTTCTAACGTCCACGTAAGATTTTATAGATCAGGTAGTCACATCATGAAAAATCTACAATTTTAGGATTAGATCCATTATTAGAGCAGTGCTAATGACGAAGTAGACCCTAGTTCTACAGGGCCATAATATTTGACACCAGACTGTTTGTCGGTCACGATCATGTAGTCAGTAAGAAACAGTGAGGATAACACACATATTATCAAAAGAATCAGGTAAGCACAATCTGTTGTTCAGCTTGACACCCCTAGAGTCTTATCTTAACCCTAATACGTCGCCACATACATACAAAACATTCGGTATTGAAAAAGTCTCTTACCTGGTGTCTATGTGTGTGTGAGAGAGGGAGGGAGTTAAGGAAAAGCCTGAAGACGGCGCAGGTATTCAGTGTTTGACAACGCTTTTACCAGTAACATCTTCTTATATAACTCGTACCCACCAAGTGGAATCAAAAGACAGAATTGACGAGGCCGTTAAACATTCGTAGTTGCTTAATCGTGGTCGGTTCTCAGTAATCCAGAATTGCCGCCACTTTGGTCTTAAGGGGTCGAATGCCTTGAGCATCTATAGTGTGTCCTAGGAAATCTAATGAGTCAGTTCCGATTGGACATTTCTGAAAGTTTACGGTAATGCCATGTTTTTGTAGTCAGTCGAAAACAAGATCCAGATGCTTGAGATGTGATTCTCTGTTCCGACTTGCGATTAGGCAGTCGTCAACGAAGTTGAGACCTCGGAAAACGTCGTCTATGAATCTTTGGAATGTTTGAGCAGCATTTCTTAGATTGAAAGGCATTCGCAAAAATTCATAGAGTCCGAAGGAAGTAATGATGGCGGTTTTCGGTATGTCGTCAGTAGCCATAGGGATTTGATTATACGCTTTAACCAAAGCGATTTTCGAAAAAAACAGTTGTGCCTTTCAAGGTAGCTGTCAAATCGTGAATGTGAGGCAACGAGTAACGATCAAGAATGGCTTTTGCATTCAATCGCCGATAGTCACCAGTTGGACGCCAATCGTTACTGTCCTTTTTAGGTACCATGTGCAACGGAGATGCATATGGGCTGTTTGACGGTCGTATGATTCCTAAGTCTATCATCTGATCGAACACGTTTTTCGCTAACCTTAGCTTTTCGGGAGCTAGTCGTCGTGCTTTAGAGAATACAGGTGGTCCTGTAGTCGTGATGTGGTGTGTAACGTTGCAGGTTACACACGGTAGTTTCGGTTGAGTTTGTTGTATCCCAGGGTACTTATCGAGTAGTGGTTGATAGAGTGGGTCTATCGTATGCTTAATTGTGACTGGGGATAATCTGCAACCAGAAAAGGAAGTTACATAAACGGACAAATTAGTGTTTCCGTCTACCAGCCTCCGTTTGCGCGTGTCGATGATCAGATTATGGTGTTGTAGAAGATCCTTACCAATGATTGGCATAGAAACATCTACAACAACAAAGATCCAGTGAATGGGTTTGCGTAAACCCACGTTAAGGTAAACGTACCTTTTGCCATACGTAGCGATCGGTTTTCCGTTTGCCGCCTGTAAGTTTAGAGCTGAATCTTGAAGCCGGTCGTTGGGATTCGTTGAGAGAACGCTAACGTCTGCGCCAGTGTCGACGAGATATCGAACTCTCATTGTCACATCTGTGACGTATAACAGACGGCTATGTTCGACGGTTACGGTTGCCGTTAGCGCGTGCCGGCTTGGAAGTTTCCCGAGTTGTTTTTCGAGTCAGTCGGTTTCGTGTTGGGAAATTGCAGGGTTTTCTGCAATTTCTGGAAGACTTTCCGTACTGGTTATGATACCAACACCAGTCGGGATAATCCGTCTCTCATGGTCTAGAGACAGATCGCTTATATGAAGTGCTTCTACACTGGGTGTGTGAACGCTTACGGTCGTTACGAAGACTAAGATAACGCGTGAGTGTGTGACATAACTTGGTTATGTCACTCTGAGTCGTTTGAGGCTTTTCTTTGACTGAAAAAACTTCGGTAGTAGAAGATTTCGTAATCTCTAAGATACGATCGGCAGATGCAGCCAGTTCGTCTAAGGCGTTGTTCTGAAACGAGACCAGAACTGCTTGCACCTAATGGAGATGTCTGGACAAGAAAAGTTGTTTGAATAGGCGTTCGTCGAAAGTTCTCTCTCATCCTTTGCAACATGTCCGTCGCAGAACCGTGTTTCATGTCTATGTTAACAAAGAGTTGATCTAACCTTTGTCGATCGGTTAGGTCTCCTCATTTAAGGACAGAACGCTTTAAGGTTTCGTACGGTTCAGATACATCACTAGTAAACATACTAGACGTTGCATACCTGTTGAATTCCCGCAGTAGTGCCTTGACTACTGCGAGGAATTGTGCACGTGTGTCGTTCACGCCGTGCTCGTGGGAGTCGGCTTCTGCGTAGCAGAACCAGGCTTCGATATTGTCGGGCCAGAAGGGCATGAGCTGGAACGAGGGTGGGAACATAGTCTTAACCTTAAATACCTTGGTGGTCTGTTCAGTCATAGAGGAAAATTAAGCACTAGAATACACGAGTGAAAAATATAAAGATATCCCGAAAACGCAGGGAAAAAATATCACAATGTATAAAAAATCAAAATCAAGCAATGATATATAGAATCCCAAAATGGAACAGACTCACAGTTTACGATTTGGTGTACCAGATCACGTTAGGCTCACCAATGAAGACGGCACAGGTATTCACTGTTTGACAACGCTTTTACCAGCAACACATTCTTATATAACTCTTACCCACCAAGAGAAACCAAAAGACAGAATCGAGGAGATCAGAAGTTGCATTTGCCGATTGCCAATATATCGGAATTATCTAACATTGAAATGAGGATGGATAACCTCGTTTCTTCGGAGCGGTGACCTTGGTACGTTACGTAAATTCGTTTTGTGGCTCTTTTGTACAATCGGTTCGTGTAGACTGATTTACTTGTCTTAGAGTAAGAATTTCACATCTGATTGATTTTTACTATTCTTTAAGTTGTGAAATCTCAATCACTCAATGCAGTTAATGAAAACATTAACACCTGGATGATGACTTAACACCTAAAATCCTCTATTTATTATATGAGCTTGAATTATGTTAGAGGGCTTTGGTCCAGTTACTCCATAATTTGTTAGACTCCAATGAGTTTCGCGTAGACAAGTGCGTTTTCGGTTCATAATCAAAAGACTCAAAGATTCTTGCCAGTTTTTGCGTATGATTTGTCTCTCGAATAGATCAACTATGGTAATAATCCATCCGATAGTTGGCCAGCCAGTGAGAAAATCTGTGTGCCAGAAGGTACGCAACTGATAGATTTTTCTGTATTTTAATCAAAGTCTAGTTAAGGAAAACAGTTTAACTCGAGTTGAGATATATTTCTTGGAATCCGTTACCAAAATTCAAATCGTTCATTTTTTATCATCCCGAGCATCTCGTCAGTCTTGCTCATAACAATCTTTTGGGCTCGTAATTTGTCAGTTATTAAGTAAGGGCTTGAAACGTTTTAACCCTAGAAATTATATGTAAACAGTAGTATGGTTCGGAAAGAAGTGATGAATTCAGTCTTCAGTAATAAGGATAGGAGGTCTGTAGACCTATATTAATCCTTGCAGTTTGTAATACTGTGGAGGTCCAATCTCGTTTTGAATATATTAACAGACGGTGCTGATATTACGTGTTCCGGTAGAGAATTCCAGTAATTCACTACTCGGTGCGAGAAACGGAACTCCAGACGTAAACGGTTTGATC